TAGAAGTTATTCATATTTATTAAGAAATGTAGTGTTGAAAAATATCAGATGATCGACTAGATTCATAAATTCATAAAAACATAGAAGTAAACATAGTCAAACAAATTACATTCGTTTGTGAGTACCAATTAACGCAGCACAATTTGGACAAAAATGTTGTGTGTCTTGTAATTCACCGATACAAAACGGAATGAGACAGCATCCTAACCAACAGCCGAATAAGGCAAGACCACCACAAATTAACCATGTTAATATACCTGCCGTTCTTTCTGTTCGAGTGATAATACTTGCATGACAATTTCCACAATTGCATGAGACGGGCATATCGCCAAGAATCACCATTGGTACCATATGCAATACTTGACCGTAAATCGGCTGAATGGATGGCAGTGGATACAATGGAGGCATTGGTGTAGTTGCTTCAGATATGTAACCAAGTTTTTCTGTAGCTTGCACTAAATGATACGGTAACAGTTAAATAACAGCTTTAAATAAGCTACACTCTAGAACAGACCATACACTTACTATAACTTGGCGGTTGTGATGAGCTTTGTTCTGTACTTTGATGTACGTATGTAGTCATTTTTTAAAAAGTGTAATAAGGCAAAGAGATTCAAAACTATCTAGAATAAACGTTAGTTAGATCGAACATCTATTTTCTTTTTCTTCATAAATGATAATTGTTCAAAATTATTGTACTGAACTAGCTAATAAACTAAATAATAGTTGCTGTTTTTTCCTAGCGTTCGCTTGTAGGAGAATAAAGTTAATATAGATATGTGGGTATCCCGAAAATGTCAGTAGTGAAGTCGAATGCAAGTTTAAAAATCTTCTGAATAATATAGTTGAGTACTCATCTCACTTTGCGGCCAATTTATGAGTCAGAAATCAAACAGTTGATATTTTACGCGCTTTCAATTGCCTTCTTGAAAAGTTCATTGTTGAGGTCAAGAAGAAAAAAAGTAATGCTTACCTTTTGTTCTTAATCAATTGTGAGACACAGCAATCTGGAAGTAATAACAAAAAGCAAGATTTTCAGCTCTGACATTCATAGACTTCACGTTTCTCTCTATATGCATCATTCTACTCTATCTTTCTGATGT